AAAAAACCCCCAGCAAACAGAAACCCAGATCCGGTTATCACTGAACACACAGGAAGCAGCACTCACAAGTCAGAGCCAGTGCGCAACACGGGACCAGGAAGGTCAAGGCTGAGTACAGTCATTGTCAGCTTTGGATAAGCTGAGGGAGGAGGTGGGTTCCAGCAAGATTAGGACAGCCAGGAGATGGCTGTGATATCTCCAGCATGGTAACTACTCAGCAGTGGACTAGGGTCCTAGTCTGTCCATAGCCCAGAAAAAACAGAGACCTGTAACTGGAGGAGACACACCAGGCTGTTTGATGTTCCTTTAGATAGTCCAGGAGATCCTACAGGACATCACTGGTAAGAATGCAACTGATCAATAAGCAAACCTGGTACAAGCCCTACTTCAACCACAGCAAAGAGCAAGCAATCAAGACAACATCAGTGGTAGAAGTGAACGTGGGATTTCCACTAAGAAACCCCTCATACCCTCCCTCCACACTTACTCCAGTTCCTGGTTCCCACACCAAAGCTGTACATGAGCCCTTGAGACACAGGAAAGTAAGTATCAGGGCTGACCTGCTCAGGTGAGAGGAGGCCTGGCAGGGGGTGTGGAAGATGCTGAGCAGGATCTGGAGGGAACAAGGTCAGGGACAGGAGTCTGGGATAAAGGAGTGAGCAGAGAGAGGGACCCGCTAGAGGCTTTGCGTGGGACGGTGTGCTAAGGACGACAAGTGATTCTGGGACATAACCCTGCTGCTTCGCTCTGTAGTCTCCAGGCCGGCTGGTGGCTGGGAATGGGACACAGTGAATACCGTTGGACAGTTCCAGAGTAGAGAGCAGACTGAGGGCCCCCTCAGTGGAGCACAGCATGGCATGGGGGCAGGAAACAAGGAGGAGTCCAGGTCTGGGAGAAAGGCTGAGGATGTGGTTCAGTTGGCAGAGTGCTTGGTAGCATGCCAAAACACTGGATTGTAAACCTAACACTGCATGAACCAGGCATGGGGGTACACACCTGCAATCCTAGCACTGTGGAGATGGGGGCAGGAAGATCAGTAGCTCAAGGTTGTCCTTGGAAACAAAGGGAGTCTGAGGTTGGCTTGGGCTACATGAGACCCTGATGAGAGAGGGAGGGGGTGGGGGGACACACTTGGAGGACCAAGCAGCAGGTGGTAGACACAGTGGGCTTTTGGATCCTTTCTCTTCTCCACCACCTCAGCGGAGAGCAAAGAGCCCACCACACCTCCAAGCCACGACTCCTCCAACTCCACAGTGACATGTTCTCCCTGCCTCACAAAGAGATTCAGACCCAGCCTCAACCTCGCACTCTGCCACGTGACCCTGTCACTCCTGTGAAGACTTTCTTCTTTGTGACCAAGCTGTAAAGCGCCATTCATTTCATGGGGTGGATGTAGGAACAGACACTTCCTACAAAACCCCTATGCAGGCCATGCGTGCCCACGTGCAGAGGCCAACCGGGACAGAGCCGCTTTTCGCTTCTTTCAGACCGCCTCAGGTCCGTTTCAAAAACAAGCCAACAAGGAAAGCCGGAGACTCTGCTGCCAGCCCTCTCCACCTTCCTCCTAGCCTGGCCACATGTCAGTTCTATTTGTTTCTCAAGTTCCCAGCCAAGCTGTTCCAACCCCATCTCTGTATCTTAATGTGCCCGTTCTCAAACAGACTGCTGGCATGGGGGCCTTCCCCAGACCACACTGTCCCCCACACCCAAGGAAGGTGGCACTCATGTCTAGTGCCACCACATTGGGAACCCTGAGTTTTCCCTTGCCTGGTGTTTCTTTCTCAGGCCCCAGAAGATGAACTCTCCAAAGTTCTGCCTGGGATCTGCATCTGCTGTCCCCACTTGTCCCCAAGGATCTCACTGGCTATTATGACTAGGTGGGCCAAGTCCTGATTGCTCAGACTAGCCTGTCTTGTACCACAGCTTTATCATCAAGTGGACTAATGGGGTTTGAACAGCATGCTGCCTCTCCTGGCTACAGGTAGAGCTTGAGAAGGTCCCTCACCTTATGGTCCCATTGCTGGCCCTAACCTCAGCCCACTCTCCTTGGGGTGGGGTGGGAACCACTGCCCCCTTACTTACCCTATAATATACTTCACACGGAACCCAATCTTACAAACTAGAACTTAGTCCTTAGGGTTTCTCTGTCTCACAGTCTGTAAACACAGCCAGCTCTATCTGGAGTCAACTGCAGCCAGGAGGCTTCATCCCCTGCCCTCTGGACCTATGCACTGCACCTTGCTTGAGCGCCTCTGCAGCCTCTAGCCCACTGTGCCAGTCTGTCCCACCCTTGCTCTGCCTAGGCACACAGGCAGCGTGGTCAGGGCAGCTGCTAGAGGACACTCAGGAGACAGACAGGAGAGCCGACAGCTGACACAGCAGGCACTAGGGCTGGGCTGGTCACCAGAGTGGCTGGCAGGGGAAAGTTTTACTCAATTCTGGGAGAAGAGGGCTGGGAGAAGGGCAGCCACAGGCCCTGCACACCCAAGTCTGGAGGGGCATTAGAGAAATGCAGCCATGGCTGGCCCCACCCCACACCCGGTAGGGTCACTGTTCGGCAATTCAATGCTTCCCACCCTCGAGGATGGACAACGGTTACTCACACTGTCTACAGCGAGGATCTTGGCCCAGATGAAGACAAGGAGGGGCCGCAACTCTCGAGCCGAGCTCTGGAGCAGCTTCAGCACGTAGGGGAAGATGCCCACTGACAGGGCCTGTGGGGAAGACAGCGTGAGAGCAGCCGTGAGGGCTGAGGGCCCCTTCCTGAAGATGCATCTATCTGACTCCCCCCGCACACTGCTGGCACTCGCAGTGTTGGCCACAGGACTGGCCTTTTCTCTGGCAGGACTGAGCTGGAGGGTGTGTTAGGAATTGAAGCTTTTCTCTCTCTTCCTTCAGTTTTGGCCTGTCTGCAATCACTCTTTGTTGACTTTATCTAATTAGTGAAAACCTGAAGCAGGCGTAGGATAGCACTAACCTGCTTATCCCCTACAGCCTGACAGCCACCTCCAACCCCAGGCATGGCCTCTCTTGCAGCACTCTATGACAGACCTCATGTTGGTAACTTCACGTGAGGATCACTTATAATCACCAACCACTGCCCTGTAAGTGCAATATCCAGTTCCCGTTGAACATCATCGTTCAATTAATTAATTAGTTGTGTGCATGCTTGTGTGTGCATGTGATTGTGTTGGAGCACACGTGTGTCCACATGGAGGCCAGAGGCTGACTTTGGGTGTCTTTCTCTATCAGTCCACCTTACTTTTTGAGATGGTCTCTTACTAAACCTGGAGGTCGCTGATTAGGCAGGCCTAGCTGACCAATGATTTTCAGTGGTCCACCTGACCGTTTCCGCCTCCCCCGGTGCCGGAGCTACGGCTGCAGGCCACTGCACCAGCTTTTCCATGAGGCTCAGAGGTCTGCGCTCAAGGCCTCATGCTAGCTCAGCAGGCTGTCACCCCTGAGCCAGCTCCCCAGCCCCATCTTTTAAACCTGTACTTGCAAACAGAACCAAATGAGGTCTATATGTGGTACATGGACGAGGGCTCTTGACGCTCCTCTAATCTACAGGCTCCCCTAAACTCTTTTATTTGTTGGAAACATGGCTCATTGCTTGGGTCTACTTCTGCTGCTCGGTGATGTAAGTGGCCATTTCTGTCCTGCAGGACGAGAAGCCAGAAGGGATTTGCTGAAGCCACAGCCAGAGCAGTCAGAGGGTGAAGACTTCTTGGGCACCAGGCAACGCACGGGCCTGCCTGCGTGGTGGATCCTGGCTCCTTACAAGTCTAACATCAACAAGAAAGAGGCCCAAACAAAAGTCAAAGCTCCAGAGCACCCTGTTGTGCTGAATACTATGCACGTGCATAGAGGTGACCCCAGGGGTGGCCTGCAGTCAGACTTCACCCCAGCTCACATGGCTGTAGCTGGTATGGATCAGAATTCACAGACTGTCTCAGAGACTAATCTCTGCCTCCCTTCCATAAGGCAAAAGTCATGTACCAGGCTCACTGCCCAGGGACCCAAGTCCAAAAAGCGTCCCAGCAAGTCCAAGGCCCTCAGCCGGTGCACCTGGCTTAGCAGCACCTGAAAAATAAGAAAGTTATTGAACCACAACAAATATACAGTGAACTCCACCCCTCCAAGAATACTCTGGCAGCTTGAGGGCCTGACAAGACAGCTTCCAAACTCTACTGCTTCCCTGCCTAGAGCTGGGCTGCACCCTCTACAGTTTATGCCTTTGGACTGGCTGAAAAAAACATTTAATTTCTTCATCACTCAAGTAAAATATGTGCCCTGCACGAAGCTGTGCAAACACTTGCACTGGGTTGACCAGGAGACTCGGGGGTGACATGGCACATAGACATCAAGACGCCGTATTCTGGCACGCGCTTTCCCTGATAGACTCTGACAACTCATTCTACTTCCCCCTCCTTCTCGAACTCAGAAGGACACACACTGGCCACATCACTCCCAGGGCAGCACGCCACTTCAGCTACATAGGCGAGCCTAATTCCTTGAAATGGTCTCCCGCTGCTAGATATTTACTGTCATGAAAATTTGCAAACAATGCTGACAACTGTCCTAATCAGCACATCTCTGCACATTTTCATGATTTTTCTCCCGAGGATAAATCTGAGAAGTAAAATTGCAGGCTGTAACAGCTGTACTTCTATGAGCACAGTGCCCTTGTTTAAACCAACCCACCTCTTTAACAGTAAGCACTGCCCACAGCACTCACTGGATGTGACTTTGGGTAAAACACTTGGCATCTCTGGCCTGGAAGTTATCCATGCTTGATACAAGGACAACACATTCTTCTGAGTATGGGCTTGACAAAATCAGGAAATAAAACGAAAACCCCCAGGACAACACTGGCGCACTGTCAATGAAGGGCAGGCAACGGCTCAAACACAGCTCTCCCCGCTTCCAAACAGCACCTCTCCCGTTTCTTCTGTTGGTTCTTATCTTTAAAAAGCTGAGGTCCAACACGAATTGTTTGTGTATTTGTGGATCAAAAAATAAAGCTGCTGGGTGTGATGGTACACAGCTTTAATCCCAGCACTCGGGAGGCAGAGGCAGGCAGATCTCTGAGTTCCAGTCCAGTCTGGTCTACATAGGGAGTTCCAGGCTAGCTGGGGCTACAGGGAGACCCTGTCTCAAAAAAAAAAAAAAAAAAAAAAAAAAAAGGCGTGGAGGGTGGGGGGGCAAGAGCCCAAACCCAAACTCTGTTCCAAACCACCTCAGGATATAGGACATTACAGACAATGTCAGAGAACTGACCACGGTCCTTCCCATTTGTGGCAAGCCAGACTAAAGACCGTATGTGGCTAGCCTAAGCTACAGTTAGAACAGGCCTGGTAAGGTCATGGAAGTCAGCTTCCAGTGTGCACACAGTGCTCAAAGCTCTGGGTCTGAGATCTGCCTGTCAAGCTGCTTCATGGAAAACTGAGGCTCTAGGGTGGCAGAACTGCAGCTGGGGTGCCCAGGAATTTCTGAGGGCAGCACCATCAGGGAGTGTCTGATACAATACACACAATGTGTGCATACACACACGCGTGTGTATGATGTGGCTAGCTACACTCCAGGTCACTGTTCTGCCACCTGACAACAGTCCTGCACTTTCAGAACCCAAATGTATAAGACGCACTGAGAGCAGGCAGGGCTCTTAATGAATGCTCGGCTCAACCCACAGCATCTGTGTATCTTTACCCTACGAAACCGTTTATCCCTCACTTCTGTTCCATGTAGACTTTCCTCCTCCTTCTGACTAGGGTGTCTCTGCCCCACGCCATCCGAGGGAAAGGCAGCCATGAAGGGTCCCAGGCAGGGCCGGGTAGAGCCAGAAAGGCCCATGGCTGAGGAGCTACAAGGCTGAGACTGGACTGCTCCTCAGAAGGTGACAGTGGCCACGGAGGAGAGCGACTGTGAGCCGGGAAGCAGTAACTGAGACAGCACTGATTCTTTCTGTTGATTGCACTTTAAAAAACAAATTTTTTATTTTATGTGTATGCATGTATTGCCTGCATGTAGGTAAGTGCACCCATGTTGTGTAATGCCTGCGGAGGACAGAAGAGGCTGTCAGATCCCCTGGGGCTGGAGTAAAGGGCAGTTTCAGCTGCCATGTGGGTGCTGGGATTTGAACCCAGGTCTTCTGCAAGAACAACCAGTGTTCTTAACCGCTGAGCCATCTCTCCAACTCGATTTCACCTTTAAAAGGCAAAAAGGACAAAGGCTGGTTGGGAGAGGCTCATTTCCACACTGCTGTTTATATGAGGGGCTGCAACTTAACAGGGCCTGGTGGAACCTCTCACTGGATTCCACAAGCCATCAGCTAATGCCTTTGAGTTACTGGGTAGAAAAAATTCTCCATGACTTATGGGAGTAGCAGGAATCTGAAAAAAAATCGATGAAGTCTGTACTAAGAGGCTTTTCCCCTTAAGTAACATTTCCTGACCTGCCAAGGCACTGGAGGAAAACTTCTGGATAAATGTGGATAAATGGGTCCAGGCTTTGGCAACAACAAAGATCTCAGGACAAAGTACGGTAAGTAACCAAATGAGTGAGCCTGGAGTGTGCCACTGCACACGAAGCTGACCCCTTTGTATTCTATGCTTCTAGTTCTGTCAGTCAGGGTTTGCCCTGGGGTCAGGCTGGGCACAGCCGAGGAGCCAGAGCCCTCCACGTGATGGAGGGCCTGCTCTTTACACCTGCCTGGAAGACCACACGGACACCGGCTTGTGCGCTTTCACAGCTATTCCCTGCACTTTGCACTCTTTCCCGAGGGAGTGTGGGTTGTAAATGGAACATTAAAAACAAAGTCAATAAAAGCCATTTACAAAAGGATTGTTTGCCAGACCCCAAAGAACTGGATTAACATGCTTGGCATCATGCCCTGCTTTGGGGAGAACCGGCTTCGCTCTACTGCAGTGCTGATCTAAGAGGTGAGTTGGTGGGAGAGCCACACGTCCTCTGCTGGACACTGGGGACTCAGGTGACTGAGAGCTGCCCTCAGCACTGCTGCCTGCCTGACCTGCTCACCTATTTTTAGATTAAAGAGCATTGAAGGGGAACAGTAATAATTTTTTTTTCATTCTTTTCATGATGACAGAAGAGAAACAATGATACAAACACCTACAGTCCTTCTCTGTCCCCTCAGTGGAAACATGCTACAGATAACAATATTCACAGCAGGGCGTGGCCCCAACACTTGGGAGGTAGAGACAGGCAGATCTCTGTGAGTTCAAGCCCAGCCTGGTCTACATAGTGAGTTCCAGGCCAGCTGGGGCTACAGGGAGACCCTGTCTTAAAAAGAAAAAGCAAAAAACCCCCAAAAAACTCAAACAGAAAAACATTTACAGCAGTCACGTGTTCTCTTCTTTCCTGCATTTTTTGCTCACCAGGATTCTTGGGACAAAGTCCTAACTTGAGAGAAACCGGAGTTGTGAGGTAGGGAGCTTGTGAGCTGTTTGACCTGGGGCAGAAACTCTGGGCAGGAGGGAGGTGCACACTCTGTGTAAGATGCCTGTTCTTTTTTACTTTTTTTTTTTTTTTTTTTTTCCCTGTTTTTCAAGGGACTCTAGATAGGCTGACTAGACTCAGTGGATGGACTTGCACTGGGGAACAGCTGGGGGCACTGACGACACAGTGGGGCAGTAACAGGGATGACAGAGTATATGGGCTCTACTCGGGGGCTATGGGAGGGTGCCATTTGGGATGCGGGTATAAAGATGAATAAGACTGTTTGGGATGTTCTGTATGAAATACACACACATACACACACACACACGCCTGTTTTTGAACCATAGCTACTCTGAGCATTTGGCCCAGTGAAGATGAATGAGGCCGTTCATCACAACGTGGTTAGCAGTCATAATGAGTGAGCCCAAGTGCTTCTCAGAAGGAAGTGAGGCCAATGTCCTCAGACAGGTGGACGATGAGACTCATGGCTTGTTTTACAGAGGCAAAATAATCTGATCAGTGCTTTGGGAAATGATGGCCCTACTGCTGGTCCTTGGCAAGTGCTGTCCCAGCTGGATGGCAGCTTGTCCTCCCTCCTCCTCCAGGCATGTGAGGTGGCTTCCATCCTTCTGTGCTCCCTTATGCCACAGCTTCTGCCCAAGCTAAACCACCCCACTTCACTGATAAAAAGTATCTTCCAACTTCTAAAGTAAGTTACTAGACCATAGTGCCTTGCCTGCCCTTATCAGTGGTTTTAGAAGTTATCTGACGCTGTTCAGGGTGAGATAGCTTTTATTAGTTACAACCCTGCTCACTGGTCTCTACCACAAATACACATTTAATGAAACAAAAATTTGATGTCATCTTCCCGTTTTCCACCAATCATGTCCTATTCCGTCATTCAGTAACTAAAAGCCAGCAGGCAGGATACACAAAATGGATCCCGTACCACATTTTGTGTGGGAATGTGACACAGGCCACAGGAATGACAGGCATACCTGGAGGTGTTTGTTTCCTATACCAAGGGAGGGAGCTGATGGCATCTGGGTCTGCACACTGCTTTTTGGTGTGGCCCAGTTAGGATCTGCTTGGTGGCCTCGCCCTTTCCTCACAGGAAAAAGTTACATTTTGTGTCCTTCCAAAAAAGGAGGCAGCGATGCCGAGAACCTGCGCCACAGCAAAGCTCGCTCAAAGTGTAAACAAGAGGAAGGGACTGTGGTGACTCTGTCCCAATTTATATTTGACTGGGGGAAGAGGAAGGAAATTCATTGACTTCGCCAGGAAAAGGCTGCTGGAAGTAAGTAAGCAAGTGTCTCCTGACTTCCGATCGGATGTGCGCCATGTATGCAGATCTGCTCAGGGCAGAGCCGCCTGGGGGCCGCTATTTCCCAGACCCTCAGATAAGCATGGGTCTGCTCAGGTTTTCTTCTCATGAGACAGACACCTCAGCCAGGCAGGCCCATGGGAAGTGACTGACCTGTAAGACGATGGGCAGCTGCTCCGGGGGGCTCCTGTTCTCCACACCCATCGTGAGCCACACCTGGAATGCCGTCAGCTGCTCGGCGAAGAATGGGCTGTGCTGTGGGACAAGCGAAGGAGCTGGTCAGGGAGGCAGTGTTCTTCATGCCGTCCTTGACCCTCAGTGTGGACAGGGCAGCAACCGTGCAGGGTGGAGTTGGTGGGATCAGGTCTGACAAAGCTGCAAGCTTCTTCGGCGGCTGGGACGTGTGCAGGGGGAAGGGGCGCAGGAAGACGGAGGCTTACAGCCTGAGCACTTGGACAACGTGCTCTGTCGGCCAGCAGGGACCATGAGAGAGGAAACCTGGTGTCTGCCACGTCTCAGGGCGAAGACACACATGGAAGTTCCTCTGGGCAAGAGACTTGAGTTCACAACCACTGGTACAGATTTCACTTCTCTTTCTTTATAAAGATTTGTTCTTGCCGGGCTTTAATCCCAGCACTCAGGAGGCAGAGGCAGGCAGATCTCTGTGAGTTCAAGGCCAGCCTGGTCTACATAGACAACTTGTCTCAAAAAGACAGGTTTTAACTTACGTGTGTGTGTTGGGGTGGGGGGATAAGTGCATGGGAGCACAGTATGGGAGCACAGTGCCCACAGAGGCCAGAAGAGGGCTTTGGTTCTTCTGGAGCTGGAGTTACAGGTGGTTGTAACCTGCCTGAAGTGGGTGATGGGAACAGAATTTGAGTACTCTAAAAGAGCAGTACATGATCATAACCACTGAGTCTTCACTCCAGTCCCATCATTTCACTATTATTATTATTTTGAGAGACAGGACTCCTTGTACAGACCAGGCTGGCCTTGGGCCCACAATCTTTGTGCCTAAGCTTTCTGAGCGCTGGAATTACAGGTTGTGCATGTGTGTGTGACTACATTTGGCCTGATTTTTTTTTCTGATTATTTTTTAAAAAATACTTTTATTATTTTTATTTTATATGTATGAGTGTATTGCCTGCATGTGTGTAAGTGCACCCATGTCATACAATGCCCGTGGAAGTTAGAAGAGGGCATCAGATCCCCTGGAACTGGAGTTATGGATAGTTGTTAGCTGCCATGTGGATTCTGGAACTGAACCCAGGTCCCCTGCAAGTGCAGTCCGTGCTCTTAACTGCTGAGCAATCTCTCCAGCCCCCTGATTATTTTTTGAAGTTGAACTATAGAGAAAGGGCCCATGACTGAGACTGAGCCTTTAAATCTTAGATGCCAAGGAGCCAGGGTAGAACCTGTCGAGAAATATGGGGAAAAAATGGCCTCAGAGGGAGAGGTGGACCACATGGAGCCCTGGAAGCCAGGAGAGTGATGTGCTTAGCAGTGTGGAACATGAGACGGATCAGGGCAGGCTACAATTATGATCCAGCATAGATTACTTCAGTAACATGGCGGTCATCATGAACAGTAAACAGTCTCTGGTTCAGCAAAGCACAGCTAGAGTAAAGGACAGAGAAGGGAGAGGAAAGAAAGGGCAGAGGCTCCAGTGCAGACAGACCCTCTAGGGAGGACAACGCAAAGGGGAGGAGAGATGTGGGTGGTAGATGGAGGGAAAAGCTGACCAAGAAAGACATGTTACAGTTGGGAGGACCGCGTCATGTGTGAGCTGATGGAGAAAGACCCAGGTGAGGGGACTGACAACTGCGCCAAGTGGGGTTGTAGCCTGAGATGGGTGTACAGTCAGAGGACTGGCCACGTGGAAGTGAGAGGGGCGATACATGCAGCAAAGCGGCTTTGAGGAGGGGCTGCGAGGCTCAGGACTTTTTCTATTACTTCTGTTTATGAGGGAAATTAGATTCAGAGCCGTGAGAGATGATTGTGAGGTGGGATGGACAGAGGAGAGAGAGGAGTGGCTGAGGATATGCCTGTGGTCAGACTGCCACAGCCTCTAGGCCCCTTGAGGGGTAACTGTGTGGGTAAGAGCAAAGAAGATAAAGGGGCAAAGGCAGTGCAGGGGAGGCAGGAATCACTAAGCACCGAACCATGGAGAGGGGCTTGGAGCTTCTGGCCAGCAAGAAGGCTCATGGAGTCAGGAGTCCTGAAGGACCATGGTAAGGTTGGCAGGGGAACATCAAGTACCCTTACCCCCATGCCAGGGTTACATACATTCCACAGGGAAGGAATGGCTTGGGTAGGAAGGAGGACAATGTGCTTGGAAGAAAGGTGGAAGAAAGGTGGACCCATTCTATAGGATCACTCATTGACACACACAGTGCTGCCCTTCCTGGGCCCAAATTCCCAGTTCCAAATCTGTCAGCAGTTTGTTCCCATGTCCATTTCCCTTTGAGGCTTTTGCTTTCCCCTTGGGGGGGGGTAATGGCACATGAGAGGTGACCTGTGAGCAGGGGAGTGTGGGGAAGCAGCTGTGCCTCCAACCTCTAGCATACTTCCCCAAGACTGTACTCAGAGCCTGGCGCCATAATAAGTCAGGCAGGATCCTGAAGTTCACCTGCCACGCAGAAAGGCACAGGGGCTCTGTGATGTCAGCTCACACAAAGGAAATCACATTCGGGGCAGCCCGCAAAGCTGGAATGGAGCCTCCAAAGTGATTTTCTCATTTTCAAGTTAAGAATTATTCACCAATTGTTCATTTAGATCTCATTAAGTGCTTTCTTCTCCAGATCCCAGGGGAACCCAGTCGCACCAGCCTATGAAGGTGAGTCACAGCACTTCTCTCTTTCCAACTGGCTTTTGCATATGGATTTTCACATTGTCCACTATTGGAGTAACTGCTCCAGAGAGAGAGAGGAGAGAGAGAGAGAGAGAGAGAGAGAGAGAGAGAGAGAGACTCCTGATCTAGCTGGAAGTGGCAAAGCTTGCTTGGAACCCCATCATTGGAGAGGCAGAGACAGCAGAGATACCCCAACTCCGAGGCCAGTCTAGTCATACTTGGTGAACTACTCTTTTGAGGCAAGACCCTGCCTCAAAACAAACAAACAAACAAACAAACAAACTCCTAACCTTTCCACCTAAACATGACAGAGAGGAAAAGCATGTCTTTGCTACCTGGGGAGCTAAAGCCAAGGGGGGAGGACACACTGGGGCAACCATGCAGCAAACAGCTGGCTCCACGGCTGAAACCACTCTTGCCCCAGGACCTGGACAGGTGGTCCTTGGAAGGACTTAGACCTGGTGTCTGGGTCAAACTTCCCAAGTGACTGCCTCAGATCAGAAGGGGACAACCTAGGTGTCCTCATGGGCTGAAGACAGAAGGCACAGAGCTGTAACCAGGACAACTCTGATGCAAGGTGCTCTACCGTAGCTTTGGAATGAGACAGTCAGGTCTAAAAACAGGTCCCTATGCCCAAGGGACTGAAAATGGGAGAGCCAGCTAGCAGCATCAGAGTCGAGCTCAACAGCAGGAGCTAATCTAGGAAGATTTCTGCTACTGCGAGTGTTACACAATGACTTTTGTCCTCCTCTGTGTCCCTGAGCTGGACCTTTTGGGTTAGGCTGGGGTCTGCTGATTGGGGTGTGATGCTCTTACTACTTGCAACTGCTCAGAGAAGCAATGGTAGCAATTGGCCCAGAGGCCAACAGCACTCACATCACCCACTTGTAAAGCCACACAGCCTGTGGGGAGGACTCTGATCCAGTTGGCTATCTCAGGCTGCCTGATGTCTGGGTACCCTCCTCCTGGCCCTTCTTCCTACCTCAATAAACACCAATTTGAATAGGGTTCTACTTCCTTGTTAGTTAAAATCTGTCAGTTCTGTTGATTCTAGAAGACTGACATACATGCTAGGCTTTGAGTCTGAAAACAAGGTTTTAAGATGGGGCCAGTAAAGAGCGGGCAAACTATCAGATAAGGACAGGAAACAGAATCACCAGGAAACACATACAAAGAAAGAAAAAGCAAAATGAAACGGCAGCTATGGCGATTCAGCAGTCAGAAGATTCAATATCGTAGATGTCAGCATTCCCCAACCCAATGTATGATTCACTGTAAACTCAATCAAAATCCAGCAGGGTCTCCACAGAAATTAAAGTCGACCATAACATTCACATGGAAATACAAAGGTCCAAAGAAATCAGGGAAATCTTGGAAAAGAACACAGCTGGAGAACTCAGCAACACCTGCAAAGTGCTCAGAATCACGACTGCGGTACTGGTACCAGGACGAAGCAATCAGCAGAGCAGAGCAGAGAAGCCAAAGCAGCCCACGGGACAACCACTAGGGCCGGTGTGGTGGCATCGCCATCGCACGGGAAGCACGCCTCCTGCTGACTCACACCTCACATTGGTGGAGCAGCATTTTAGGGGTGCTCATCTCAGGGGAACGTCGAAGTGGCTAAGACAAGGCAGCAGGGACCCGAGTCATAAAAGAAAAAACCCAATAAATTGGATTTTGTTAAAGCAAAGGATTTCTGTTCCTCAAGGAGAAAAGGTAAGGTGCCTGAGAGATGCTCTGAGGTTAAGGGCACTGGCTGCTCTTGCAGAGGACCTGGGTTTGGTTCCCAGCACACACATTATGGCTACAAACCACCCATAACTCCAGTTCCAGAGGATCCAATGCCCTCTTCTGACCTCTTCTGACCATGCAGGCATTGCATGACACAGGTGCACTTACATCCATGCAGGCAATATATTCATACATATAAAGTAAAAAATAATAAAAAGAAAAAAGAAAAAATGTGGAAATGAAGTCTGAGGACTGACAGATCCCACGATATGAGACGAAAGGTGTTGGCAGAACCACGCCAGCTCAACACAGAGAAGGCATACACAAGACCCGTAAGGGGACAGCGGGACACAACCATTGATGCCACCTCCAGAGGACACCTGTTCGCGTGGAGTCAGATCATTCCCACTAGAAAGACTGTAAACTGAGGACACTGCGGACAGCTGACCAGTAGCACCCACTAGACCCACCTACAGCCTGGCAAACATGCACTGTGCTCCCCAAGCACACACAGAAGCCAGCATGGCTCCCATGGGAAACAGTCACGGAGGGAGGTTATTTGCAGCAGGCCCCAAATTTAGGGGCTGGGTGGGAGAGTGCCAAAAAACCCCAGCAGTGAAGGGAAGTATCTTAATGTCGTATGTACAAATACACACTGGCCATGGAGTGGAAAATTCATTTCGGAGCCTGTAGCACCATCACTGTATCCTCAGTAAGAAGGCAGAGAACAGCAGCAGACAGCAAGTGGCTGCAGAAGGAAGGGGCTGCTCGTGGCTGCTTGATTTGGGGGCTGGTTATTAGTGCGTTAAACTGGCAACAGTTCATCAGACCATATGTTTATGACACACAGTTTTCTACATGTACATGATGCCTCCAAAAAAGTGAAAAAGCAAAGTAAGAAGAGCAGTGAAGGCCCAAACCAGCTGCCCTCCGCCGCCTGACACCCTGATGCCCCTAACGCAGAATACTGACTTTAAGAGGTTAGAGATGGTGTGGGAAGATTCTTGGAAAGGTCCTTGGAAAAGACCTGGCATGGGAACAGAAGCATTCAGTCTGGAAGGAACAAACAACCACACACTTCGAGGAGGAGACTTCTGACCTAAATGCAGAGTGAAGACAGGCTCGGAGGACAGAGAAGCCAGCCTTGCCAGGGTTTCCCAAACAGCTGTCTACAGTACGTGGTCCTGTCCCTTCCAGGAGCACGCAGGCCCCAGGGCCACTCTGGTTCCCATCCAGGTTGGGTTGGAACCCGAGGTGAAGGCAGCTGCCCCAGACCATGTCGTCATCTATGCAGGTCTGTGGTCCTGAAGGAGACCTACTCCTGCACGGGAGTTTAGGGAGGGCAGGCACGTGGGTTTTCATTTGGAAGCTGTAGTAGATACCATGTACACTGGGGAAACCCAAGACAAGACCATGTTAGCCCTTCAGGGCAGACACTCAGGGCAGCCTGCAAAACACACACACACACACACCCCGCCATGTAGCTGACACATGGACAGTACAGAAAAGCTAATGGCAGAACGAAGAACAAAGTGGTATGAGTGTGGCAGCTCACTCTAAGTCCTTCCAACTTTGCTCGCCACTTAAACGTTTTCACAGTAAAACGCTACCTTCTTCTAAAACCAGCAACAAACAATGGGACCATACAGACCAAATAGTTTGGTAGGTCTTCGAAGGCCCTTGGCCCCATTATCTCAACCTCAGGACACAGCAGAATCATCTGGGGAGCTAGCACTGCCCAAATGCACGCAAGAGGCATGGTACTAGTGCACACAGACCCAGGCTGGACTCTGTAGCAAGGAAGCTGTCAGATAATGGTGATACACACTGAGGTGAAAATGCCCAGGCTGTGAGCAAAGCCCCTTTGGCCACAGATTCTTTGGTCCTGGCTCAAGGGTCTGGCACACTTGTGTCAGTGGCCAGTTTCCTCTGGGCAGTGACCTTTGTATGAACACATAGGGGCCAAGTGTGGCTTCATCTTAAGTACTTTAGGGTGCTAACTCGTTTAGCCACCTTAGTATCACAGAATGCCCTTACAACATGGAACGCTAGGCCCCAGGAGGCAGCCTTGCTGACCTCAGAAGCACTGCCTGGAGGCCAGAGCCTGGAGCTTCTGGGTGCTGTGGAGCAGAGGGGCGGCCATGACACCATGCCAGCTCTATGTCATCTTGGATTCACAAATGTCTGACACTCCTCTGTGGATCACGAGGCCACCCACCTCTGTGTTCTTGAGTCCTGAGGTCCTGACGAAGGCCCCCAATTTCTAACTGATACTCTGTCCTGTGTTTGAGGGCACAGACAGGGTTTTAGTCAGAGGTAGTGCCTCACATAACAGCAAATGCTCCACAATGAAAAACCAAGGAGGGCTCTCAAAGGCCACTAGAGGGCTGCGGGCAGTGCCACACTCACATGTAGTGTCACAAGTGGGGTGGGCAGTTCAGCAACTGCTCAACTTCCATCTGCACATCGTGGTCAGAGACTGAGACACATCCTGGGATTGGATGGAGCCCCCTGCACTTTCAACTTACAGGTCCCCGGGCTTCAGGAACCCCCCACCCCTGCTGAGAAGCTAGAACATGAAGCAAGCTCCCCTCCTCCCCTAAGAAGGATGGCTAAATGAAGAAGCTGCTGATGTGTGAGCCATATATCAAGGTAATGCAGCTTTTAAATGCCAACCATTTCCAGGCCTAACTTAGGCCCCAGATTGCCCTAAACTTGCAAACTCTGGATAGCGGTATTACTATTTTTTTTCAGGATATTGAACTGAATTCCTAACACCCAGACTTCTGGTATTATCCAGACCTGGTGTATGCAATGGAGGCACATGGACCCCTGGGGAGGGAGGAGTCTCCCTGAAGTAGAGACTCACCCTGAAGGCAGTGCCCTCCTCAATGATGGTCGGCAGCTGAGAGAGGCAAATGTCCACAGCAAGGTCCCAGGCCTGCCTGGGAAGAGAACAGAGGGCACCCACAGCGTCAGTAAGCAGGTTTGGCATGAGGCCTTCACATGGATGAACTGCAGCTGGAAAGGGCTGGGCTAGGGTCTTGGAGCTGACCCTGTGGCAGAGTCACCCAAGAATCCTGGACAGAAGGAAGTGGCAGCTGGTGGGTGCTGTGGTTTACTCTTCCCACCTAGTGTGACACACTGCTTCTCTTTAGAACCAAGTGAGAAGGACAACGGAGTTGTCCACCTCCAACATGGCCCTCTGTGGCATGCAGCCTGCCTGCTCTAAGCAGTTGGGGTTCCTGTGGTGGCCAACAGGACAGCATTGGAGGTGAAAGGATGGGGCAGAACAAGGTACTTACTTCGTTGGTAACAGCCTAGTCAGCAAGGGGGTGGGTGGCCTGGCTGTGGACCACCTGCCCTAGAAGGCCAGGCAGTGTCAACATGCATCACACCCTGTGCTCCTAGGACTGTAAGGCCCTGGCACCCTCTTGCCTGTGTGGCTGGGACCAGACTCAGGCCCAGGAGGCCAGGGTTGTGCTGGTAAGACGGCGCTATTTTGAACTGAAAGAGGACAGGCCATTTGGCAAGTGGGCTTGGCTATTCTCAGCCTCTCATGGCACCAGGGCACCACTCAGCACACTAGTAGTGGACAGCATGTCCTCAGGAGCATGTCTCACCGTGCTTAGCAGTGTCTGCTGAGGATGCTGCCTGCAGCGGCACCAGGCAGACGCCCACGCCCGGCTCCAGCTTTAAGCCAGCCCTCTGACTCGGTTCTCCGGGAGCTCTATGGCTCAGATGCTCAGACATCACAGGATGATTTATGTGGCTTCATAAACACATCCTCTTACATAATGGGGGGACACGGGGACTCGGTGTCTGGGAGCGGGCTGGTTGCTCTTATGTAAGGTTCTTTGCCAGGTGAGCCCCTCCACCTGCTTCTACTGAAGGGCCTGAGAACAGGACAAGACAGGAGTGTTCCCGGCCGGGGTTACACAGGCCAGAGTTTAAAGGCAGGGTTTTGGTCTTGGTCTGCAGGTATAAAGTGAGTGTAATCTTATTGATTTATTATAAAATTTCTCACTTTGAGTTATTTTAGACTTGAGGCAAGCCTAACAGCACAGTTTTCCCACATGACTGTGGAGCCAAGTCAACACCTCTGTGAACACACGTCTTTCTGATAATGCTCAGGGAAGTGCTGGCCCACGGTCACCCAGAAGTTCCCAGTACTGTACACTACAGTCCCTGGCTCAGATTGCTTGGATGTGGGGTCCAGGCCCTCCAAATCCACTTTATGCACAGCTCTGGGAATCCAGGCTCACCCTGGTTCCCTGTCAGTATCACGGTGGTGATGGGGTGTCCTTCCCTCTGTGGTGGGCTGGGCATCCCATGACTTTACACAAAGCTTCACTGAGTTGAGGAACCTGTGTGAGGCCTAACGTGCCCTGTTCTTTCCTCTTTTCTGAGATGTTGGTTATGTGTTCTATCCCTATGACCAAATACGTTAAAAAGTAATTTTAGGTGGGAAGACTTATTTTGGCTCACAGTTTGGAGGATTCTGCCTGTTATGGCAGGGAAGTCACGGTGGCTGAGTGGTGGACACACTGGATCCACAGCCCGGAAGCAGAGAGAGGAATGCTGGTGGTTTTGGCTTTCTCTTTTATCCCTATTTATTCTGCCTGGTTCCCCCTAGTTCTTCTTCTGTCAGATTTGTCTGGAAAAGCCCTTACAAATGTACTCAGGGTGTCTCCAAGGTGACAATTAGGTGCCAAAACCAATGTTACTGGTTTTGTTTCCCAGAGAATAAAGTGAGGCAAGAAGCCTGGCCCAGTGCTGAGGACGAGTCAGGGACAGAGCGCAAGCCATGTCCCGGGTGCCTCTGTGTGGAGTCCTGACTCACCTTCTACCCCACTTTCTCTGTAGAAGTCACCAGATTAAGGACTCAGAGGTGGCTGCTGAGTGGCGCACACCTGTGACATTGATGGCAGCCACACTGCTGCTCCCAGAGAGCAGCTCAGGTGGAGCCTGGTTGGTATACCTGGCGTGATTCACGGCCAGCACAGGGGCCCTGGAGGCAGTGTCCCCTGGGGCCTCAGCAAGGGATAACGGGGATGATGAGCATCCTTTTGCTGCCTCACTGTCTCTCTCTGTTGGGGACTCAATCAGCTAAATACTTGGCCAGGCATATGGCTGAGTACCCAACACTGCCTGCTAAGCGCAGTGTATAGTCTGTCCAGCAGGCTGCACTGGTAGATGGCAGTCACCCACTCCCCTGCCGGGGCCCCTTTCCCCTCCCCTACTGCCTGCTCCTAGAAGTAGGAGCAGCATCCAGGATAGTCTGAGTCCTCCTGCCCAGTTGGCCCAGGCCTGTACCCCTGGTCTGAAGGACACAAACCAACAGGAGGACAGCGCCTCTTACAAGATGGCTGATGGTTCTCTGCAGAGACACAGCCAGAAACAGTCCTGCCATCCTGCTCTCTGCCTCTTCTGGGCTACCACGTCATATGTGAAATTAAGTAAAGAGGGGTCTGTTCACCTGTGACGAGCTGGTCATGTGGAAATGGAAGAGAAAGGAGGAGCGATGGCTGGAGGCCTGCCTGAGTGAGGTAGACAAAGGGAGCCAAGAATGCCATGACCAGAGGTGACAACCCAGATTGTCCTCTGATCACAGCAAGGTGCTACACGGGCCCAAGATGGACAAATATCTCAGGATGGTAGGGTGCTGGAGTGGCACTGTGGGCAGCCTGGCCATAGGAGGGGTTAGCTGAGAGGCTCTTTAATTCATGAAGGCTCTTCAATTGCTGACAGTCAGATTCCAAAGACGGCCGCAGTGGAGCTCCAGGCCCTGCCCTCACCATTCACTGGTGTAAATGGCCACAGTTCCTAGCAACAGTACCCCTCCCTGCATTGTGGAAGCCAGCCCACAGTGGCTCCACAAATCACTCAGAAATACGGCTTCCCCTTCATGACCCCGTGTCATGTGTGGCACAGCAGATACCACCCCTCTCACTTCAAGTGCTCCATGTAGCCTTTTCCTAGGGTCAGTGAGCTTCTCTCTTGTCTGTCTTCCTGCACCTACAGGCATAACAACACTCTTCACTCTCCCTCAGTGACACCCCCAAGTGCCATTTAAAACAGATTCACCCTTCTTGGCGGCTCCAGACCCTGACTCCATAGCAGGACCAGTAGGCATGTTTAAACTGTACCCAATACCTTCCCGTCAGTTCCTGGAGCCCCCAGGCTTGCCTTGTCTTACTAGGTACCCCTCACAATCCCAGTTCCTCTCTTACCCCTTTCCCTGGCACTGTGGTGACCCCTGAATCTAGATGTGCCAGACTGCTTGTTGGTACCTCAAATGCGGATCTTCACCATGCATTTGCTGAGCCAGAGAAGGAGGAATAAAATCAACCTTCTGCTCAAAGCTCAGTGGGGTTAAAGACAATGGGAGTGGGGGTAGCAACCTGACAGCACACTGTGCCTAGCTCCCTTCCTTGGTCTCAAGATAGGGACCCTACCAAGCTATGGGAATCACACTGTAGCCACTCAGAAGGGCTGAGGTGACAGTCCTGCTTGGATCTTACTTCATGGCTCCATCTCTTCAGGAACAGCTTCACCATTTGTGAAGCAGAAAATGGGGTGCCTTCCTCATGGGGTCCCTATGAGGCCCTGAGATGAGGCAAAGGCCTTGGTGAACCCATAGGCCGAGTGAGGGCCAATCAGAGATGCGCGGCTCTCGGCAGGAGTTCCAAGCTGGAGCGCCGTGTGGTCACGGATCAAGAAGCACGAATTCCCACGGGTGTGCTGCCTCTGTCTCCACCCTCCCGTCTTTGAGAAATATGCTCCCGTGGAAACAAAGCGATGATCGGTACGGCAGATTTTGTTTCTGGAATAGCAATCTCTTCTTCCTGCTAATTTCCTGAGAGACTCAAGGATTCTTGTTATTTTTATTTAGACTAATGAGACTGCATGCTGGTAGGTAAAAGGGCACATTTTCTCTGTCTTAATAAAAAATAAAGACAAGGATGGAAAAATTTTAAATCCAGAAGGAAAGTAAAGATTTAAGATGAAAAGGTTACCCACCCCAATGTCCCCTTCTGCACTTAGTCCCTCTCTGCCCACAAACCTCACTCCCAAATGCCCTCCCTCCCACACAGCCCCTCCCCGAGACAAAATTAAGAGGCAATCAGGAGATAATCAAAAGTGGCTCCAAGTTTGGGCAGTAAATAGCTCCCATATGCTCGACAAAACCCCGACTGCAGAGACATCTACTCTTTGTTGAAAGTCAATTATTGCAATTAAACTCTACAGAGAGGCCTCAAATTTAATCAAATGAAAAGCTTCAATTTTGGGAGTTCGAATAAAGTGTACAAATGGAGATGGGTACTGGGCAGAGCATGTCCAGCTCTGGCTGATGTGATCAGCTGGAGCCCAGTGTGGTCTCCAGACAGCACACCGGGCTGGGCACCTTCGGATCTAATCATCTAGGTAAAGTACACCCATGCGTGCTCTTGAGTTCAATGGGAATGCCTGCTGTGTCATCAAAATCCTGACCCACTAACCAGGTCCTAAACATCTCACATGTTGGACCCCGTCTGGCATGGCTGGCCCTGCAGGGCTGCAGTCCTGACCCACTAACCAGGTCCTAAACATCTCACATGTTGGACCCCGTCTGGCATGGCTGGCCCTGCAGGGCTGCAGTCCTGACCCACTAACCAGGTCCTCAACATCTCACATGTTGGACCCCGTCTGGCATGGCTGGCCCTGCAGGGCTGCAGTCCTGACCCACTAACCAGGTCCTAAACATCTCACATGTTGGACCCCGTCTGGCATGGCTGGCCCTGCAGGGCTGCAGCCCCACCAGGTTCCCACCTCTGGTGGAACAGAGCCCACTACAGAGTTCCTGCACCATAAAGGCAGCTCCAGAGGATTTGATTTTCAGTTGTATAAAAGGCTTGGTGGAGACTGCCGAGATGAGACAAAGCCAAGGAGGAGCTGCTTCGGG